TTGTTACTGGCATAGAATGTCTGTTTTCCAAATAAGGGTGCTCAATTTCAAAACTTGCTATGAAATGTAGTCTTTGAAGTGCTTCTGTGCTTTTTATGAGTGTGAAATGCCTGTATCTTAATTAATAGTTTGAAATGTATTTCGAGTGTGTATTATTAGCTTAAAATGTATGTATTTCATAATCACCAATGTTAAAGATTTGTCAGCCAATAAATCACTGTTGTTTTACTTTGGTTGGCACATGAGGAATATGAATTCTACTATCTAGAAAGTGTACATGATTTATGTTTACTTCATAAATATTTGTTATTTGTGATAAATAATAATTGTGATTGAATGACTTTTCTTGAGCATACATGGAGCTCACAAATGTTTACTGTCTGTGAATTTTTAATCGCAAATACTGCGTGTCTATAATCACAGATACTACGTATTTGTAAATGCCTAAATACAGAGACTAAGTAAATTCTTCGGTTAAAACCGTTAACTGCTTGTAGAAGTGAATCCCATAGTCATAGATAGCTAATGTGTTGGTTGGAATGTATTGTTAGTTTTGATTTAAATTTGCTTCTTGCAGAGAATGGCCGAAGTCAATATTGGTGATGGAAAAGATGGAATCATCACATGTCACTAGAATTTTTTATTCTGAAATTTTGAAGGATGTAATGTTTGGTATACAAAGTTTGGGGGTGTTACAATTTTGGATGTTCTTAGTTCTTTTGCTTGCTTTAATTGTGGAATTGAAAAGGAAAATTTAATTTTGCTTTGTTTGTTTCTCATTCTTGAAAACAATATCTCATTGTGCTATATTATAACTTACACTTTATTGTAACTACATCTCCCCCTTTTTTACTATATCTAATTCTTGGCTCTTTGTAGTATTATTTGTTGTGTTTTATGGTTACATAGACAAAAACTGTCTGTAATTCATCAAAAACAGATTTTTATTGTCTATGTAAAAATCAATCAAATATACCATGTAATGGAACATAAAGAACATTTCACAAATTCTCTATATTGTAAAAAAAATTACAATTAACACAGCTTAGCTACAGTGACATAGACACTATATATATATATATATCTAATTCTTGATCAAGAACATTTCATCAAGACTATCACAGACACTAGATGTCTGTAATTTCAATGACACAGACGGTAGATGTCTATGTGATAGATAATTACACATACAAAAACATACTTCGTACCAAATACCAAGTATCCAAAAGATCATATACCAACATACTATTCAAATAAAAAAATGGTTTGGTTGATGGACATCGACAACAGCAATAGGTGAGAGATATCCAACAACGGTAGGTGAGAAACACCCTCCGGCTAGAGCACCGGCAACGATTTAGAAGAAACCCAACAACGGCGGTGTGCAGGGAAAGCAGGTAGGACGCGATGAATTTTCGGCGGCGAGTTGTAGTGGTTCGACTAATAGTGTAAAAAAGAATCAGGCGAATTTGGTCACGCAGACATGCACTATAAGTTTGTGACTATTCAAACACAGACATGTAATATATGTATTTAATGTATGAAAAGCGCATTTGTCAAATATACCAAATAATATTTCACAATTTCTTCTTATATTGTAAAAATAAAGTAAATATGCACAAAGTAATGTTTGGTCAAATAGACAATAAGCAATTGTAATTCATTAAAAACAAATGTTTATAGTCTGTTTAAGCTATATAAAAATTAATCCAACAAATATACACATAATGGGGCATAATGAATATTTCACAAGTTTCTCTAGATTGTAAAAAAAAGTAATAATTACCACTGTTTAGTTACATAGATACTAAATATATGTAATACTTGATACATAGACATTTATTATCTGTGTAACCTGAATGAAAATTTCACTCGTTAAATATGCCAAATAATAGAGTATCAAGAGCATTTCACAAATTTAATTGTGTTTAAAAGAAAAGAAAAAAACAACAATCAACGTTGTTTAGTTACACAGGCACTAAAGCTCTGTAATTGTTGGAACATAGACATTTGCTGTGTTTGTACTCTGAGTGAAAATTGCACCACCATCTCTGCCAAAATCAACTACTCCGGCGACGTTGTTGAAGACGAAGAAAGGTACAGCGACGATCATAGAGGAGTGGGCGACGACGGAGAAGCAGGTGGCGGAGAAATAATTGAAGGCGTGGTTCGTCGCCCTACTTCGATCCAAATCTCCACGGCGACAACGACAATGATGGCGGCGTTTTGACGCTTCTGGGCGGCTGCGGGGAGCCCACGCTGTGCAACTTCCAGGGGGCGCCGGGTGGGAAGATATATGGCAACGGGGAGTTATGATGTATGAATTAGATCTACAAAAAGTTGAAGAAAAAAAGAAGAAAACCGAAGGAGATAGATGGAGAGATAAGATTGAGAAATTGGATGGGAAGAGAAAAAAAAAGGGAGGGGAGTAGGGAAGAGGGGAGGGAGGAGTATATGGTGTACGCACATGGGGTACACAAGTGGTGTACCCCTAGCGGGACTCATTTTTTTCCAGTCTAGATATGGGGTGTGTTTGAGTATACATCATGCTCTATGCACCTCTTTAACCCTAGTTGCAAAGGCGTTTTACCAAAAACCCCTAGTATAAATGGACCAAGACACAAGTACCTATTCCTGATTTGGGGTCAAAATTTACTCATCTTTGACTCGAATTTTTTTCAAAGAAGCCAGATAGAGTTTGTCCTAACTATGTCGATATAAATGATCCCATCTACTTGCCTGCTGGAAGGGACAGTATTAGAGGGTCCCCTGCCCTAATAACTAAACTCATTTACGGACCATTACATATAGTTATAGCCAGCTACACGAGCTGAGCCCAAACTAAGTTCGAGCCAATGTCGTTCAATTAGACATCATCGTCATTATAATGTACAACAACAACAACCAAAGCTCCGACCACAAGCCACCACCCATGAGTCCTCGGATCTCTTTCTCCAACGACTTTGTCGAGTCCAGCAGGTCCTACTACAGGGACGCCCCCGTTTCCACCGATTTCGAGTTCTCTGTCTCCACCAACCAGCACCCCACGGCGGCCATGACCGCCGACGAGCTCTTCTCCAAGGGCAGGCTACTGCCCTACCGAGAGGCACCCCGCCCCGCGGCTGCCCCTAATGGCACTACTAGGCCCACCACTCTCAAGGACGAGCTTCTTGTTGAGGACTCTGATTTTTCCTCTCTCAAGCCCCCCAAGAGCTCTGCCAGGTGGAAAGGCTTTTTGGGCCTCAGAAAGTCTCACATTGGGTCCAAAAGAGTTGACCATAATAAGAATGAAGATGATAAGAGAGAGGAGATGCAGGTTCATGGCACTAAAAACCCGAGGGTCTCTTCTTAATTACAAGATTTATTTGTTTGTTTATTTATACCAAGTATTTAATTTGTTTATGTATCATTATTTATTTATTTAATTTTTGCAGGATCCGGAGTTTCAATTCTGATTGATTGATAGTTTGACGACGTTATGCTTCTTAGAGTCTATATAAAGCTACATTCTTGCAAGAATTGGTGCTTCATTGGTGAGGGGGGGGGATATAATTCATTTGTGTTGTAGCCATATCTTAATTAGCCAGCTAGGAATTAGTATGACTTCTCTTTTAAATTAATTAGAAAGTTTGTTCTGGGTGTGGAGAGACACGCATCGACATTACGAATGTTTAATGTTTATGCGTGTTTCTTTGGAAGATGGGGTAATGTAGCATTTCTTAAGATGTTTCAAGTTTGTTAGATTAGTCTTTTGGTTGATTGACTTGTTTCTTTAATCAATTTTTCGTTCTTCTACTTCATTTGTGTGTTCTATTAGTACTTCGTGGATTGTACTATACGTTTGTTCAAGTTTTGCGCTTAAAATTATGCAACACTCGTTCTATCATTCTTTATTTTTCATGTACATTTTAAACATAGCATGTATGTACTTTTATATAATGTACGAATATTAAAAATATTTAAAAGTAAGTTAAATAAAAAAAATTACAATCTGAAATAGAAATACTTCCTTCGTTCCACAAAACTCTTCCTCTTTCGTTTTTTTTGAATTTCCTAAAATACTTCCACTTTCTATTAAAAAACCACTTTTACCCTTACTTTTTCATACCTTACCTATCACATCATGCTTTTTCACTAATAATCAAACTATCACATCTTACTTTTATCTATCACATCAGGGGCAAAATTGGAAAGTCAACCAAAATTACACTGTTTTTATTTTTGCCAAAAATCAAAAGTGAAAGAGTTTAAAGGAACGGAGGGAGTATTAAATAAAGACGTGGAGTAACTAATACTTGCACATAGTCATTCTTAATTTGAATAAACCTACTTCCACCCTCAAAGATTGTACCCCAAAATGTACTTATAAGATTTAGAAACTTACATTTTGTTTCAACGTAAGTGCGAGGTTGATGGCTTACATTGTCACAAAATATATGAGCAAAATTTTGCGATTGCACTGATATTTTGTTTCAATATATGCCGTCAAAACCTAAGCATAAATCTGTAGGATATATTTTGGAGTGCAATCTTTGAGAAGGTATATGGTATAGCCGGCTGCACCTAGAGATAGATACATCCAGGTAGTACTCATTCTGAAGTAAGTAATACTCATTCTCGAACAAATAATGCAGTACTCATTTTCACACATTTGTTCAATACAATTATAATATTCATCTATGAATAACAAGTGTTCATTCTGAAAAGAAATAGTATTCATTTTCAAATAACTTAGTGTTCATTCGCAAGCAAAATAATATTCATACAATAAATAACTTTCTTTCTCTCCTACCCGACCCGACCAAAAAACACAATTGTAGCGTTTTTCATCCTCGCGCCTCTCCTCCGACCGACATCAGCTTTCTCCCTCGATCGACGGAGCACCTCTCCTTCCTCGATCGATAGCAGCTCTCCTTTGTCGTCATCAGTGCGCCTCTCCTTTGCCGGTATTCGATCAGACTAATTTACAGAGCACCCCTTTGATTTTCGTCGCCCTCCTTCACCGTACCCCTTCGATTTTGTCGACGCTCTTCTTCCTCTTTCATTATACAGACTGTATCCAATTTTGGGTTCAGCCGATTGTATAATGCTCCCTCTGTCCCATAAAGTCATTCCCATTTAAAAAAAATTGTGTCCCTTAAAGTCATTCTCATTTCTATTGGAAAACCATTTTTACCCCTTACTTTTTCATACCCTCCATATCACATCATACTTTTTTTCTAATAATCTACACATCACATCCTACTTTTACCCATCACATCAAGGGTATTTTTTGAAAAGTCAACATAAAATTATATCTTTTTATTTTATCACTTTAATCAAACCATCCTTATGTTTAATTTTTTATAGGACGGAAGGAGTATAATTTACAGTAATTTTTGGATACACCTAGCATTTGGTCGTCTTAACTTTTGTCACATGCGGATTGGTCAACACAACGAAAACTAAAAGCCTATGGTTGGATATAGCTCATCCGTTGATTAGAGCAAAAAGTTAACCTATTAGTCCTCCGAGGATTGGTCAACACAACATCTTGATTCCTCTTGACGGAGAAGATCACGTAATTAAGAGGTAAACGAGGGAGCAGATCACCTGCTCTTTTCTCTTGGAATTCTAAACTGAAAAGAAAGAAATGTTAAAAAAGTTGAATTGTTAAAAAAATCACCTAATTAAATGATCTCACAAATAAATATTCAAAAAATTAAATTGAGATAAAAATATTTCATCTTTGTATTTGTTTGAGGTGGTATTTTTTGGATTTAAATATACTATATATGATGTTATTATATATTCATCATATCTAAATACTTTTTTTAAGTCGTTGAAAAAAACTGTAAAAAGTTATAAGAAGTTGGAAGTTTTTTTCCAACCTAAAAGAACAAACTCATCTTAGACTTGACAAAATTGACACGCTATGCTTTTATCCTTGGTTCGACCAGAAAGTATTATGTTTCAAATAAAAGAGATAATTCTAAATAAAACTAAAACATAGAAAAATAGCAAAATAAGAATATCATGTTCTTATTCTCTAAATAAACGTTCACATAGCGGTAAAGTGTCACTATACATGTGTATCTTACATAATGTGTTTGGTCATGATTGATAATGTAAATGCACATTAACTTCTATTTCGAGAATAAAAATACAGAACTCCTATTTTGGTATACTTTCAATATTTTACTCATACTTTAGTCTTTTTCTCTTTAAAAAAAGGTTTCATTGACCAAGGCATGATAAAAAGATTCGAATAGAAACAATAAATTTTAGGATCAAAATACCATAGATGCTTTAATTGAATTGATGTAATAATCTTACATCAATACTACGGTATTAGACAATAATAAGAATAAGAATAATTATGATAGTATTAGTTATGATACTTTTTGTATTTTAGTCAGCTTTTATTATTGAGTCTTATTCCTAGTTATACATGTTGTAATTCATATATATATATATATATATATATATATATATATATATATATATATATATATATATATATATATATATATATATATATATATATATATATATATATATATATATGGGCCAGTTCCTGTGAGAATGCACCTTGTGGAGAGAAATGAGAATGAAATCTAGCCATTGGATCTGATGCATCGTGCGGCTCAGATTGCATCTTGCGCTCAGATTTTGAAATAGTGCATTTTCAAAGGATTATGATGCATTTCGATGTGATGCATTTTCAAACGATTTTGTTGCATCCAATTTTGATGCAATCCTGACCCTTAGATCGCACAATCTAAAGCACCAGATTCATTCTCATTTCTCTCCTACGATCGCATTCTCACCAGAACCAATATATATATATATATATATATATATATATGTATGTATGTATGTATGTATGTATGTATGTATGTATGTATATTCCATTATTGTTCAATATGGTATCTGACCTATTGTCTCTCTTATCAAAATCATAGCCTCCCTTTTTTACGACCATGCACCACCTCGGTCTTCAACATCGACGCTCGACAACCATAAACCTATAACCTCGTTGTCCATTATGCTTATTTTTGTCTCTAAAAATTATGAATGTGCGTTATCGCCGTCATCTCTTATCCTTCTCTTTCTCTACAAAAAAATTATGAGCGTGTCTAACAGTTGTCGTTCCTTATCCTTTTTTCTCTCCGAAATATTCTTGTTTGTGATCGAAAAGCTTCAAGCCTGCATTTGTCAGTATTTCTTTTAGAATTTGAGAGCATGAAGAGCGATAGAGAAACAACGAATGACCCAAAAGGAGGAAAAAAGGAACTCCTCGCCATCGCTCCAATCGCCTAACATTCTCCGCCGAAAAAAACTCAACACATGCACTCTCAAGCTTGTTCATCACACAAGGAATATTTGTTTCTTTACTTCTAGCAAACTTACTCATGAACACGCAATATTCTCCACGTTTCCAAGCTTTCTCTCGTAACACGAGTTCATCTTGATGGAGAATATTAGACAATAATAATAATAATTATGATAATATTTGTCTTTGTATATCTTTATCAGCTTCTATTATTGATTTCTATTTTTAATTGGAATTATAACCCCCTCTATATATAATATATTATATATTCCATTATTTATTAATTTTAGTAATCTCCATTATTTGTAAGATTAGCCCTCATTAAATACTTTTAAACGAACTTTAAATTTAGAAGATTTTATTTAGTCACACTCCTCGCATCTTTTCACGAGAGTAGCTAGTTGCTAGTTTGACTGTTTTTCAAATTTATGTACTCTCTGCCTCTTATCTTGAGCATTAATTGATTACTGAAACTGATGAAGCAGATTGTCAAATTCCATAACTACCCCTGCGCATTGGTCTGCATATCCACGCAGTTTCCATTTTCTGTTTACTTAATTCGATAATGCTACATGTATCTCAAAATTTGTATCTTATTTGTACACTAAAGTTATGAACTAACATTTTAATAGTTCATACTGACACAAAGTGTTAGTGTGTTAACAAAAATTTACTTTGACACAAAGTGTTGCCACGTAAACCAAAATTAGTATTACACTAACACAAAATATTGGTGCATTCCTTCGGTGTACAAAATGAGGTACAAATTTTTGGGGTACAAATAGCATTATCCTACTTAATTTTACCCACAAGTCTACAAGAAGGAGAAGACAACATGACAGTAAAGGGAACTCGAAATATCCGTGGAGTCCCGGGACTTCAAACCGGAGCTCATAGGGCAAACCCAGAACATTTGTACTATGGGGTCGCATTTTAGAAAGTTTATATCAAATCATCTCATTTCTAACATAAAATAAAAAATACTTCATAATATATAACATTAAAGTTGACATTTACCACAAAAATCACAAATTAAAAATAGTCTTTTATTACAAATATAAAAATACATTCTACAATTGATAAAGTCTATTTTCATATTTTGAAAGTGATTTATTATAATACATTTGCCTCCTATATTGAAATTCAAATAATTAAAAACACTATAAATTTGTAACAAAATCCAAACATCTTAACATATTCCTAATCTTACAAAATATAAATCTAATTCACAATTTACAAATTGAAAAGAATAAATTTTAGTTTTAATTTTTAAATTTTAAATTTTATAAAATAAAATCATAAAATCAATATATTCAAAGTACGAAAATATGTATTGTAATGTTGACACATGTCAATCTTTCAAATATTAAAATAAAAAATTTAAATATAAAAGATAAAGTATTATAACCTTCTAAATCAATAATCAGTGTGAAGTCAATGAGTAAATGTGTTCTTATTCTATTTCTTTATATCTTTTTATAGATTGTAAATTATTAGAGCCCACTTGTGTAAAAATGGCAACTCACACTGCTATAATTTAGTTCGATTAGTTTAAATTCTTAAAATGATAATTTATAATATTTTTAATATAATTAATGGTATTAAACACGATCTTTTAGTATTAGTATTTTTAAATAATTTGAACTCTTAAAAATTTATTCAAACGTATATATCTATACGATTCGTTTGAAGTAAGATTTTTTTTTCCATTTTTTGCATAAGATTGACCTAGTTATATTCTCCTTCTTCTAAAAGAACTACTTAGAGTAACTCTTTTTTTATTTGTCTAAAAAAATTTACACTTTATCTGCTATTTTCTACTCTATTTTCTTTTTGAAAAATATTGTCTACTCTATGATTGACTCATTATTTATCCATTTTCATTTTATAAATGAACGATTGACTCATTATTTGTTTATTTTCTATTATTTCATTGACATCATACAAATGGAGAAATGGAAAATTAGAAATTACTCGGAATGGAAAATTCATTGATTCTATTTTAAGATATACGAACTAAAATAAAGCAAAAAAAAGTATATGGAGTACGTAATACCTTGCAACTTAAATGGGTAATTACCTATTTTGATCCAAAATACCTTAAGCTTGTAATAGCTTTGGATTTAAGGAGATAGCAGAGCGGAATTTTTCCCTTTTAAAAAGACTTCGATTTAAGAAGGAAAAAAGATTTAATTTTTCTAAATGCTATAAAAACATACCAATCAAAGATAAAGTAAATTTGGAAGGAATTTTCTAAGTTCAGCTCACCTTATTATGCCACATAGCATGTCAATTATATTGCCACATGTCAAATTCTTGTATTGCCAAATGTCTACTTCTTAGAGTCCAAACTCTAAAATTTTATATTAAAGGATTAAAAATCTCAAATTAAAAGTATTTATTAAACATGAAATTAAACGGGGGAAGTGTAGAAGATGATTCAACCCGTTTGATGTCTTAAATTAGACACTTGAAATATAAATTGCTGATTTTTAAGGTGTGGAGATGATTCAAGTCCAATAACTTCGTTGGAGCACGCACAAAGTTATTGGAGATGAAATTACGTTCGCTGAGTTCTCTCGGGTGCATGCTCCAAACAAACGTTATTTTTCCCTTTTTCCGGGTTTATTGGTTTTACTTATTCCTTGTCCTCATTTTGGACATGAATATAAGTTGAGATTCTTTTCTAAGGGCTTCAATTTTATTCGACGGCCCTATTTCGGACATGAAATTTGTTAATATTCTTTTCTAAGTTACTGTAGTTTTTTTATTATAAGAAAGTTCAAATTCGTATAGAATTTTTTTGTTTTTTAGTGTAACAGATTATTGCGTGGAGTTTGTTAAGTCATGCAAAATTTTACTCGTATCTAATGCTAGGGGTACACTAAAGGTGTATCCCATTTGTCCCCCACCCCCTTATTCACCACACATTTTTATTTCATTTTTAATTATTTATTTATTTTTATGTGTTTTGCCCATTTATGTGGTGATGGAGGGGTGGGGGACAAATGGGGTACACCAAATGGTGTACCCCTAGCATTTTTCTTCAAATTATGATATAAATACTTACTCTACAATGCTATATGTCAAAATCCATCACTCTTTGATCTATCAAATCTTTGCTAATCTTTTACTCAAAATTATTGAACTAGCTATCGATTAAAAAAATCTTATGGTGCACTCCCTCCGTCCTAGAGTATTTGTCCACTTTCATTTTTACACACCATCCAATACACTTCTTTAATCCATTTTATCTTGTAATTTGTATATTAAAAAATTATAGAAATTATATATTAATAATCTATACTCCGTATGTTAAGACAAGACAGAAAAGATCACACATGACTATATTTAGGCTTACACATTGAGAGAATTTGATGAGTCAAAATACGTCGATGAACAGTTCCAAAAGTCAAAAGTGGACAAAAACTGGGTCACGGAGGAAGTAGATGTTTTTTTGAACTAATATTTGCCTATAGGATGACCATTCATACCAAATAAATTAAATAGGGCGATTCCCATGATATTACCCGACAATGTCATGGGATGCCCTGAGGACGCTTTGGTATTCCGTTCGTAAAATTGACGGTTCATACCCCCGATAAACCCATCCACCCAGCCCAGCCTGAACACGTACCCCTCACCCCTTTCAATTGCGTCCCTGAATTAATTTTGATTTTGGAGTCAAAATGACTCCAAAATCAAAATTAACTTGGGAATACAATTGAAGAGGTTGAGGTGTGTTCGGGTCAGGTGGGGGGTTTCTGTACGTTAGCGAATATGAACCGTCAATTTTACGAATGAGACACCGAAACGCTCCCGGGTCACCAATTGTACTATAATTTATATCTTATAATACTATATCATTTGAGTCCAAAAAATAATAATTCAAATATATGATGGTCATCTTCAGACTAGGACGTTAATTTACATTCGTGTGAGCAAAACAAAATGATAAGATGTCATATTTAATTTAAACATTTTTTTAAAATTACGAACAAAAATCTTTCTGTGCAACGCACTCGTTAGAATCTAGTACTGGCATACATACTCCAAACCCTGTGGCAAGAGGATGGGAGGGAACTGGTCTGGCGGTCCCTGAATTGGAACCAGAACCGGACAGGCCCGTGTCCTAGCTACATAGACCTCCATACAGATTATCGGCAAATTATATGGTACATCCAGCTGTACCTTCCTTTAGGTACAACCTGGTATTTTTGTAAATTTTGCAAATTTTTTATCGAATGCCCAGAACATATATGAGAACTGTTATATATGACAATGAGTACCAGCAGATTTGAGAAGAAGTACCAACGCTTATGAGAATTATCATATTCTTATTTAATACAAACATGAATAAACTTGAGTTTTAAATCCTCCATGCTCAGAGAGTATAAATGAGTAGGAACGAATCGAATAGAGGAAGAAGTTGATGATGGTACTGAACTTTTTAATTGTGAAAAAATTGAACAATACTTTATTTCAGAATGAACATTTTCTTATTTGAGAATGAGTATTGTTTTTTAAGAATGAACACTACACTATTTATTATAATTTTATTAGACAAATGTGTAAAAATGAGTACTTCTTTATTTTAAAATGAGTACTATCTTTACCAGAATGAGTACTACGTATTTCGAAATGAATGTTTATATTTGTACGAAAATGAATATTACTCCGTATTTTATTTCAGAATGAGTACTACTGGGATGTACCTATTTCTAGGTACATCAGATGTACCATATACCAACTCACATACAGATTACACATAGCCTTATAAAATTCACTCCTCTGGCTCCCTTTCAAATTCTACATCGTCCAACCGCGGCCTAGCGAGTTGGGGAAGTACAAGCCTTTCTGACGACATTCTACCAACAAATAGGCCGTAGCAATGGATTCCATGCCGGTGAATTGGGAAGTACTCGACAGTCTGATATTCGATTTCGCCAAATCGGAAAACCTCATTGATGACTCACTGGCTCCGATTTCACCTCAGTCGTCGCCGTCTCCTTCCTCCTCCTCCTCCTCCTCCCACTCGCGGCTGCTTATTAGAAAAATTAGGCGTTCTATGGAGGCAGGAGATGTCGATGCTTCCCTGGATCTCTTGCGTCTCCACGCGCCTTCCCTTCTAGACGATCACCGCCTTCTTTTCCGCTTACAGAAGCAGGTATTTTGTCTGGACCTTCTCTGTTGAAATTGAACTTTTATTCAATCTAAGATTCGAATTGGCAATAATGGATAGAACTCTTTTGACCTGGAATCCTGGATGGATGAATGCTAAATTGATTATAATTTTGCTTTTATTTTTTTTTGGGTGGGGGTGGGGGATTCTGAAGGCATCCGGGCTTAATAATCCATAGTGGGTATGGGAGTTGCCTGGTTCTGTATGAGGCTTTTGGAGTTGAATTCATTTTGAATGTGTTGGCAAACAAAATTTAGCAGCGGAAATATCTTAGCGCATATCAGTTAAGGTGGGTAAAAGGTTGTGGTTTGTATAAAAGATACTCCTTAGAGCATCTCCAATGTATAGTGTAAAAGTTGGTAGTGTAAATTTCATTTTACACTATCAACAGTATTTTACACTTCCACTTTTTAATAGCTACTCCAACCATGTTTTGTATAATATACTCCCTACTACACATTTATTCATGTCCCTATCTACAACCACCTTGTAGATATACACTTTGCCAATTGTATTTTACCATATATTGTATTTTAACATTTGTTTTACCCTCTCCCTTGGAGTGTCAAAAAATTAACCACAAAGTGTAAATTGTGTAAATTTTAGCATATAGCCTCTACGCTGGAGATGCTCCTTTGCTTTTGGTTACTTAGGAGAATGCTAAAACATACTCCTTAAAACTAAAATGAGAATATCAAGATGCAGGGTGATCCTATCAGCATTTTCAAAGTGACATTTTGCTTAGCATAATGCTAATTCAAAATATGATTTACCAACACATCATTCAGCATTTTGACCAGTCAAAAGTGCTGTTTCGGAGTAGGATTGGATGACCTTCGATATTTTTTTGTGGCCTTACCGCCTTACTATGTTTTAAGTTTGTTTTAAACCACAGAACTAAATGTATTCTTTTACTCCATGAACAGAAATTCATTGAGCTTCTAAGAAAAGGTACAGAGGAGGATTCTAAATCTGCTATGGAGTGTTTGCAGACATCTCTAGCTCCATGTGCATTGGATGCTTACCCAGTAGGTCCTACTATTTTTCTAATTCCAAAGAGCGGGATTCTATGTAGAAGTTATTGTTTCACGCTGAATGCTTCATAAATGAAATATAAAAGTGTAACCTCAATATTAATTGTAGTTTGGGGGTCATAGGTAAGATTAGATTGCTCTGTCCATTGTCATTTGACAATGGAGTTAAAAGAGTCATTATTAACAATGTTTTAGTTTCAGGCCCATAACGGACTAAATCAAAATTACACATTATATACTTCACGTGATTCTTATTTGCTACGGTGTTTTGGGCAGTAAATGCAGCAAAGCATCGAGGGTCTATTTGAAACATCTGAAACAACCTCTTTGTTTTTATGGGATGAGACTATGGTTGGACGCGGTACCGGTCCGTTATAGTTCTGGTTCCGGAACCTCATGTCTCAAGTAGGGCGGAGTCGTGACTGGTACAGTGGTACCGGCTGGGAGGGGGGGTTCCAGTTCCTTTTTCAGGGACAAATTTTATATATGGTACTTTAAAGTATTTGTTTATTTGTAGATATTTTGAATCAACCTAAACAAATGATTAAATAAGCTTAGAAAAAACTTAAACTACTTCCGGTTCTCATTTTAAAAGTGAGATTATTAACTGGAACCCTTCCATGGTGCTTCTGGTTCAGATCCCGAACCTAAGGTTCTGGTTCTGGCTTCAAACCAGAGCCTTGTCTGCCCTTGGGTGAGTCTGCATACATCTTAACCCCATGACCCCAACAGAGTTGGGATCATACTAGATTGTTGCCTTCATCGTTGTTGTTTCTATATGTAAGATTAGATTGCTTATAAATTCATTTTGTTTTGCACTTTCATGGAGTTGTGACTTGCGATACATGTAGTTGCTAAGTTGCTATTTGCTTTTTCTTTATGAATTATGTTCCTTCGTGTTGTATGCAAAAAAGATATGGTTTTGTAGTATATTTATCATCGGTATGATTAGATTGCATACAATTCATGATATATTCACTCTTTCATCAGTTTCATGAGTTTCATCAAGTTGTGATTTGTGGTGCATGTTGTTGCTGTTGGTTTTTTAAATTCTGAAATATGTTTCTTTGTGCGTGACTCCATTTCCGATGGAACTATTATTCACAATGTTTTAGTTTTGTGCAAATAATGGACTAAATGCTTGTTCTTCTTGCTTTGATTTTTTCGGGGTTGGGATTCCAGAGGGTCGTTTGGAGCCTTCTCGTCTGTCGTCCAAAGAGTAAAAGTTCAAATGTACATGGCTTAATCAAAATAGCACATTAAACTTTCTCGTCCTTGTCAACTATCTATGAAGCTTTAGGTAGTAAATACAGAAGGGTGTAATGGAAACAAGTAAACAACATCTCTGTGTTTACAGAGGTAAGGTTGTGTTCGTTTACCCCCAGACCCCAACATAGTTGGTAATCTACTGGCATTTTTCTATTATTGTTGTTCTTTTGTGCTGTATAAAATATATGGTTGTAGCATATTGATTTTCAGCCTTTTAGTTGGTAGTGAACATGTGATCTGGTAGGCATGAAGCCATTTTGTCCCTGAGTAAGAACTAAGGAATATACCTTGAAATGAGGCTCCTTTCAAACTGGTTGAGTGATTTATTGTCATTCATTCCAGAATATGTACAAATACAAGCATATATATGTCAATTTTTTTATAAAAGCTTGCAATGTCATGAACTACCAGATATAAGTTAATAGTTAAAACTGGTGGCAATTACAGTGAAGTTTTCATTCCCCTTAGTATGGAAACATAGCGGACAATTTCAGAACAGTATTCATATATTGTTTGATTCAAAAAACATTTCGTCGCTCTATGGAACCGGAGAATTTGTATGCCTGGCCTTACAAATAAATATTTCTGGTTTTGAAGGAAGCCTACGAGGAATTTAAGCATGTTCTTCTTGTACTTGTTTATGACAAAAATGATAATAGTTCTCCTGCGGCACATGAGGTGAGTTGTAATTTTCTTCTTATCTGCTGTGTCCCTTGTTATACTTACTTAGCATTGAAGTATCATTTATTTTATCTAGTAGTTTTTCTATTGTAAAAAAGTAGAGGAAAAAGTTTGAAGAATACTTTCAGCTTATTCCAAAACAATCACTGCCTAAGAAATTTCATGTTTGCCAATTGCACAAATTAAACCATTAATATCTTTAATTATTTTTCTCTTTTTCCTTCTAGTGGTCAGAGAAGAGGAGGTTCGATCTTGCTGGGTTGCTTTCCTCGCTATTGAGGGCACATTTACATGCATATGATCCACTCTTCGCAATGACATTGAGACACTTGATAAGGTATTAACGTGACTCTGATTTCTAGATTTATGCAGCATACACTTACGTCATTTCATTCATTTGATATGAGGTCTATTTTATGACGCATTGTACTGGCAGACAGCTTGAGATGAATTTAGTTTTATTGATTAAACAATCTTAAATGTTATAAATAAAAATGGAACGTCTTGCAACATTATAATGAATTCTATTACACAACATGCAGCATACATAAAAACGTTTGCTCTCGACAAGGAGTTTCATCACCCATTTCAGATCTTATAGAGAGATTGCTTTTTGAGGATCGAGATCATCCAGCAACACCTACAGAGAGTCTATATGAAGCTCCTCCATTTGATGAGGTAAAGTATGTTGGATAGTGGATACTATGAAGTTATAATAGTGTTACTACAACAACAACAATAACAACAAACCCAATAAAGGTAGGGTCTGAAAGAGTGTGTACGCAGACCTTATTATAGTGTACTACATCTAAAATTCCGAGCAATAAGCTTATTGTGATCATCAGATCTACTTAGGATCTACTGAAGCAGGGTTTTACCGAAAGTATTTTAACATTATACAACAAACCAAATGAAATCCCACTAAATGTAGGTTCTGTGGAGGATTTGTACTCAGTCTTTTATCCCTACTCAAAAATAGAGAGGCTATTTCCAAGAGACCCTCAACTCAAGCACAGAGAGCGACCGACAAACAAAGTCGTAGCAAATAGCAAAGAGCAAATTAGAAGCAATGAAAACTACCAAAGGTAAAAGCAAACAAACTAGTACCAAAGAGCAAAACAAAGAAAGCAACGAAGACAAGAGTAGAAAACACCCACACAAAGAGACTACTAGTATCAAGTACCAAGACTCAATCTTCAGACGTTCCTATCTAATATCATATCTTCGGAAAGGTCCAGAAGTCTTAAGTCTTGTCTAGTTACCTTACCTCCTTCCAACTCTTCCTAGGTCTACCCCACCCACTTCCGCAAGTCTCTTGTATCTCCGCACTAGACCTCCAACACCTCTCCGCTTCACATTCCCAAACCACCTCATCCTAGCTTCTCGCAACTTGTCTTCCACTGGTGCCACTCCCACCCGTCCCAAATAAGCTCGGTCCAAATCCTATCCGCTTGCCGTCACATCCACCGTAACATCCATCTCTGTCACATGAAGTTAATGAGAATGGGTTTCTTCACTGCCCACCTATTTTTTCACATTATCTCGATTGCAAATGGAAGATCATGTATACAAACAATAACCCCTCACCAACACTACCACCAGTAGGCCTACGTAAAATGGCCATCACAATTAACGTGTTTCATTGTTAAAATAGGTGGACATACAAGCTCTTGCTCATGCTGTTGAAATCACAAGGCAAGAAGCAGTTGATAGCTTGAGGTTTGCTAGGGGTGATGTATTTCAAGCATTTCAGGTATGTATTGTGGGAAAAGCTGCTGTGTGCTCAAATAATAAAATATTTGTTGTTCAATAGCTACTAAATGGATATCTGGGATTCTAATCAAATAATAGCGTGAAAATTTTATGTTGCATTTTTATAAACAAGTACGTTGCTCATTTTTTGTAAGTTAAGTATTGCAATTTCTCATGCTCAATACAGGGTATTTTAAAGATATTGATGTTAGATAGTTTCCAGGATGAAGTGCGCCTATGTGTGTTGAAGCTTTGATGCATTTACATGTTTTATGGAACTAACTTTTTTGCAGAATGAATTATGCCGTATGAGAATGAATTATTCTGTGCTTGATGATCTTGTACACGAGTATTGCATTTATCGAGGTTTTGTGGCCTTTGGTGTTGCATCCCCTTCAAGTAAATTAATTTACATTTTCTTTAGTTATCTTTTACTCCCTCGTTCCTATTTCATGTTTTCCAATTGTGTGGTTGAGATTAATTTTGAAGCAAATGAATCAATATGGACACAATTCCTCCCTTAGAAGGGGGATATTAATTAAAGGCCTTAGGGATGGACCAAAAAGGAAATGTGGAAGAAAAAAAGGTTTGGAGGGAGTAATATTTAAATGCATTTTATTGCTCAATTTCTGACTGTTACTCTTTTTAGCACCTGGAATTCAAGGTGTTTCTGGAGCAGTAAATGATGATGGATCAGAGTCTGATTGTTTATCACTGAACCCTCCATTTCGAATTTTCCCTGGAAACTGCAAAGTTTCTGATGGTGAGGCATCTCTTAGTAATATTTGCATGGAAGCCTCACCTAATAGCAGTATTGATACTGTAAGTATGCAAACTACTGATGTTGAAGAGCGTTTCTTTTGTGAGACAAATATTCCTGAAGACTGCAGCACCAGTGGAACACATCTAGATGGAAAAGTTCTGCTGAAAAATGGAATCCATAGAACTGTGGGAAAGAATAAGCGTAAGCGGTGGATGAGGAGAGTTGAGAAACTAGATTATATGTCAGAAGCTACATTCCAACGAAGCGGTGAAGAGGTTATATCAAGCACCTTGGGTGCCAGTACAAAGGTTCTGTAGTAGTATACCATTCATGCATTGTTTCTAATTCCATTTGAAATAAAATCTTGGTTTTTCTATTTTGCAGGCTTCTCAAAAGTTACCCGCGGTAAAGTTTGGATGCACCAGAGAATACGAATATGAGACTCTTCTGGGCATTAAAGAGCTAGCAAGCAAAGGAATGGCTGCAGAGGTGGTTGATGAAATTAATGCTTTAGACCCAAGTTTTTTTGCACAGAACCCAAACTTGCTTTTTCAGCTGAAGCAGGTTTGTATAGCCTCAATTTTTACATTGCTATCAGAGATCTCATTTCCTAATCTTATTTTTAGCTGGTTTGGCTTTTAAAACTAGTGATGTAATGATGAATCCTATACTGGATGTAGGTTGAATTCTTGAAGATGATCAGTTCTGGTGATCACTCTGGTGCGATAAAGATAGCCTGCTCGTATTTGGGTCCTTTGGCAGCTAGTAATGCTCAATTGTTGAAGCCTTTAAAGGAAACATTATTGAGATTGATGTACCCTAATGAAGTAGTACTGAGTGAACGCTCGCCACTGTTTGGACTAGCAACGTCACTGCAGGTAGGACACAAGAGAATTCGTGAATTAGAATATCTCCTTTTTTTGCTGATCCACACTTGCCATACCTTACTTTGGGCAATTTTGCACCAAATTAAATTATTCTACAGTCAATGGTGTAACTCTTTCCTACGCATTGCACCATTTTCTCATAGAAAAGAACCTTTGGTATGCATACTTATTTAATTTTTTTACGCCGTATATTTTATTATACAATTCTAGATCCATTACACAAATTTCATATAAAAAGAAAATTTATAATCTATTCAATTTTTAGCTATATTTCATTACATAAACTCTATATGTATGATAATTGATAAATTATGTTTTTGAAAATTAATGTAACAAATGCTTTAAAAATATTTGCATGTAAAAAAATTTAAATAACAAACTGCAATGTTCTTAAAAAAGAAATAAATGTTCAACTTTTTTTTGAAATTTAATGAGCAAACAAACACCTGCATTGTAAGAAACAGAACAATTGTGTTGCCATTTTCGGGGTACCCACAGTATCATACCAAATTTATCGTGCTATTGTCTGTTGTGTTTGTTTAGCACGTGGCTTTGTTTGGAGGATACACCAATTCCTCCACGCCTGCTAAAAAATTGGCATGCATTGGAGATGACCTTAGAGTTTCCAAAATAAATCATTCCAGTTTTTGTTTGCATTGAGCCACTGGCCCTTGCTGCCTTAAATGACTGCCAACATATTAATATTTATTTCAATTTGTTATGATGAGGTATGATTTTGCAATATGATCATTGTCGTACTAAGAATTACTTCAAAATGCATTTATCCACCAACTCGGTCATATTATAGAAGTGGATGTCATGCCTAGATGGATGCGTGTACAAGAAGGAAAGGAGATATAAAAAGTGATGCTGTTGAAAGCGCAGTTCACATTGCTCCTACTGGAGACACATTGAGATAAAATAGATTATAACTGTTGGACATAATCAACATAGGTACATGATTTGGAAAGAGAGGGTTTTGTAAGATGGTCAAGTGACGATTATGAAGGGATAAGAATGGTATAAGAAGCAATTGTTTGTTTCACATCTAAAACCTAACAATCATCAATCTAAACAAGATTGGCAGTTTAGTTTGTCCCCTTTGATATTAGTCATATTACCGAGTGGTTTGTTCTGTTATTTTGTTCCGTAACATGTGAAGTGGATTGTGTGAAGGTTGCTGCTGGGAAGAAGCTTGGTATTGAACAGCCCCAGCTTATAAAGATTTTGAAGGCAACACTCTATACACACAATGAGTGGTCCAAGCTTCATATGTGCAAAGATCGGTTCGAAAGTCTTTTAAAGATTGATTCACTTAAAGATATCAGCAGTCACTCAGTTATAACTGCCTATTCTAAGTCCGATATTGACATGGGCACTCATGGGTCATCTCAATTTACTTCATCCTCAAGTAACAGAGTGCAAGGAGATGGTAGCAGCTCTGTGCAATCACCTACCAGGGATGTGGAATGTGATGAAACAGCGATAATTAAAGTTATGGTAAGTCTTTCTAAATTATTTTGATAAATTTTCCAAAACACGGGAAGAGTCTCAGTGTTATCGTTTTTGAGGTGCTGTTAAGGTAATCGTAAACTGATGCTGTAGTAAACTTAATCTTTTTGCTTTTTTTTGCTGCCCTACATTTTTTGTTTTTATGCTCTTGTGTTTTTGCTTACTGTCATACCCTTTACTGCACATACTACCTTTTTGTTGGTCCTGTGAGGAACAACATTTCTACTCCTAAGGGTAAAAGTAAGGTGTGCATACATCGTAGTGTTTCCATACCCTACTTCAGAGTGATATATTGGGTACATTTGGCTCTAATCAATACGGTTGTTCCTGTTTACTGAACTAATTATGGCTTTTATTCGTTGTTCCTCGTTCTCTTAAACAAATTTTTTTTATGCTTTTGAAGGCATGGACCCACTTGAACTGATGACAAAAAAAACCTTTTTAGTTAGTGCCAAATGTGTCCTGTTGACTAAACTGAGTGAGAAAAAAGAGTCAAAGGACCAATTGAGTTGTGCTGTGCATAGTCAATAGACTAAAATAAGTATCAGATGGATGAGAATATTTAAGATCTCGTGCCGGACTAATTCATCATGGCATGTGGCCCCCTAAGTCTTAACGGCATGCATACATGCTTTTTATGCTATGCACATGACAGGCATAGGTGGGTGTAGTGGCCTCGTTGAAATATCCTGCTTTGGTCTTCATTCACACAAAATCAACGTATGCAGGAATTTCTTGCATTGCCAAGAGCAGATGCAATTCATCTTCTTGCACAGTACAATGGAAATGCAGAGATGGTCATTCAGCAGATATTCACATAATTTGCGATCTGGTGCGTAGCTTAAATATTCTTTAATATTTTTTTTATTACTCCGTATTTAATTGATCGGACGTTTAGATTTTTCTACATTTTCTGTCAAATTGTAAAGATGGAACTGGAATTGGATGCCCTTGCTGAAAGGAAATGCTTCTGAAAGCCAAGCCTGCAGCTCTATGTCTATGGTAATGGAAGAGCCTAAGTACTAGGGCTATATTTGCTTTGTGCAATATTTATGTGTTCATCACAGTTTCCAAGTAGAGAGATACTATTGTGATATTCATTGCCTAAAATGCACTTTCAGTTATTTTCTTTCTTTCAGACATAGCCTTGTTTAGATGGGATTGACCAAGACTTGATGAAATGAACTGTGCTAGAGTGCCTCGAAATATAACCCGAGCAAATCGTCATACCCTTTTTGTTCACAAAGTCAAGAGCTCACATGGTGTCTCTGTGAAGTCCATGTCTGTGAGGCAAAGCTTAGGGTTCCATTTGAGGTTATTTTACATGTTTTTGCCCCTAAATTATCAAATGGAAGCGTGGGAGAGTAGTCGAAAATAAGTTTTATATACACTCTCATTTTTATTAGTGAAGTGTTGAAAAAGGTTAAATACGTTGCTTCTTTTTTTGTACTCCGAGTAGTATTGTATATCTAATTTTTCTCATATCTTTTGTTTTCTTCTATTAATTTCTAGCATAATTATGCATTTGAAGTATTTGGGAACTTAGACACAAATGTGTAAATAGACCAAAACTAGGGCGCATTGACGTGGAGGGTAATGATCAATTTGTTACTCCATCCGTTTATCCTTCCTATTAATTTTCTTAACCTTTTGGTGTGTTATCTTCAATTTTTAGTTTATACTACATTCAATTGCATGTTAACTATTCACATAATTAGATTTTAATTATTTTTTTTCATTATACATGTGATAAAATAATATATACAAATAACCAAGTGTTTTGAATTTTTTTTATATAGTTTGTGTATTTATATGATGTATTAATTTTATTTCATAATTTCACACCAATGATCAAAGAAGTTATGAATTTAAAACAATTTTATTCTAATATCATAAACAAGTCAACAATGAACAATTTAAATGGGAGTGGAAGGAGTATCATATTCAGCACAAGTAATATTTGTGGGAGATGATGTTGGTTTTTTTTTGAGGGGGTTGGGTTGGATTTCTTATTCTAGACGGGGTCTAGAATAAGAACTTAAATCACAAAATTTAAAAAAACAAACAAGAATGTAAGTTATTGGCGTAAACACTAATATAATGTGTGTTCAATAATATAACTTAGAGATTACACGGCAGATTATTGGAATAAAAAAGTGATATGTCCCTTAAAGACAAGGTATTTATAAAGTAGAAAGGAATTATTGTTCTCGTATGTGACCATTTACCGTACACATGTGGATTAACGTTAAGCAACTCTATCTATCTAGCTCTTCCATGCTTGATAGGTTCCATAAACTATCCCTTTAGCCCAGCTGCACCCCCCCCCCACCCCCACCCCACAAATCTCTCAGGGAATAGACCATGGCGATGGAGGGTCTCAATCTTGCGGTCCCAAGGTCTAATACAACGGAGAATGCTCGAGTACTCTCTTGGGACCTTGATGCTCTCTCTTCTTTCATTTCTTCATCCATCCCATGTGCCAACCAATAGTTCGACACTAAGTCCTTTTAGGGTTTGGCAAGGTTTNTATCTATTGTTGATTTCAATTCGGAGCTACCCTCGATGTGGATTTCATAGAGCCTTTCTTTGTTGGGGCCGCCCTTGCCAAGAAAGATGTACAACTGTAGGAAAAGGGATGGCTCCTCTAGGAGAAGGATGATTGTATCCAGTCTCTTCACAGCTGCCTCAGGTTTTGAGAATCCCTTTTCTGGAGGAGCAAATGAAGACTGACGCTGTCACTACAGCTTAGTAAAAGAGGTTGGAGATCTTTGCCAACACGTTGAAAGGAGCAGAGGACGAGTCCTGGAGATTTTTTGTTGACATCCAAAGATTTACACTGTGTTTGGTTCGTGGATTTCAAAAAGAAAAGAATGTGGTTTTCTCGCATTTTCCTCACCAAAATTGAAGAAAAGTTTTTCTTTTCTTAACTTCATTTCTTGTTATATTTAGTTTTCTTTCTACTTTTCTTTTTCTTTTCTAACTAACCAAACAAGAAAAGTTATATCCCTCTGTCCCATTTTAAATTACATTTTTTCTTTTTTTCTCCGTCCCAAAATAAGTTGTCTGTTAGTTGTTTTCGTAAACTATTAAAAATAAAATACCTAAACTACCCCTAAAGTAAGTCACACTTCTTCACCTTATCTTCTCATTCATCATCACCCCTCCTAAAAAGTAATGTCAATTTCGAAAAATCAACTCCATTTTTTATTTTCCTTAAATATGCCCAAAAGTCAAAACAGGCGATTTAAATTGGGACGGAGGGAGGACTATTTTTTTCCTTTCAAAGACTTCGAGGATGACTCCTAATACCTGCCCGCTGAAATTCTAAGGCTCCAGCTTTGAAGTTTGAAGAGATTTCCGAGGGCTTGCTCCCACACATTCACACACTCTGGCCCCGAAAGGACGAGGTCTAGCGCTTAAATGTTGAAGTCCAAAGGATCTTCGAGGTTGAAAAGCGATGTCGGGCCCTCTCCTCCAAGGGTAATGTTTTAGAGTGGTTGAACAAGACTCCCAAATGTTGGCTTCAGAGTTGAAGAGAGTTTCTTGGGAAAAGGCTTCTGCTTATATCCAACTTTAGGAGCAAGGGAACACCATCCTTCAGTTAGAGAAGAAACTATAACGCCCAGAAGGTGAGCCTTTAACAATTAATAATTAAGATAATTAAATATATATTGAGAGGTATCGGAAGTGAAATTTAAAAAGGCTGTCAATTGATTATGAAAATTATACTCTTTCTTTTCGCCATAGATCTTCCTAAATACCCTTTTTGTTTGTCTGAAAAAGATTTTCCCATTGCCTTATTTAACATTTTAAGGGCTAGAATTACCATTACTTTATTTATTACACCTCCCCAACTCATTTAAAATACTCCACCCTTTTCACTTAGGTACTGATTGGGAACTAACATTTCATTTCAATTATTGCATTTCAATTCCAAAATTTAAATTATTTATTTTCAAATGACAAGGAGATGCATATGGATTTGCAATTGAGTTTTAATGACTTAGAGATATTTGCCTCAAGTCCAGATTCAAATCTTAAAAATTTTCAAAAAATAGAATTTGAGCCAAATCTGAATTTGGAATCCAAATTCTAGTTCCCGAGCATGTCGTATAGGTATTTTACTAAACTTACACCTTTTTCAACTCTCTTTATTAACAACAAAAAATTAACTTCACGAAAATCTATGGTAGATGGAGGGAATATCGTTGTGTAGAGACAAACTGGTTGATCGCAACATTGTGATCAAATTTCAATTCAGAGCAAATAAGGTTGAAAAGTATATTTTAATCATGGTGCATTAATTAATCACAAATCACAAAACCTTGATCCTATATATTACACGCATAGGCATGCGAACGTGCATTAATCGCAAGTCTGCACCCTCTCTTTCTCACGACACCCTCTCTCTCTCTCCCTCTCACGAATCCCTCTCTTCATCTCTTGCACATCTGTCCTATCATTGCCTCCATTCGTTATTTCTCCAATGTTTTTATATTTAACTTTGTGTCGTATTTGAGGTGAGTGCGTGAACCTATCTAATGCTAGAATATGCATCTAGGTTGAGTCCACTTCAATGATTGATTACTATGGTTGAGTTATGTGAAATACTATATTAATTGCATGATTGTGGCTTTTGGGGTTCCATTGTTGAATAAAAAGGTATGACATGATATAGGCATTGATTGACCATTAAATGTGTTCAAGTTTGGATGTAAACCTTGCATGATGTCGAAATAAGTCTAACATTGCATTTTGGGGTTGAAAAACTTGATGTCACCAACACGTCTGAGTTCGCAACAAGATGCCAAGTGCCAACCAGAAGTTCGACGCTAATCCTTTTAGGGGTTCGGCAAGGTTTGGTCAAATGAAGTGTCACGGACTTTTCCTCCGTGGCAATTATGAGCTTCTATGAGCAGGTAACCATCAATTTATCTTTCTTTCTCATCCTCTCTTACATTGTTAAATTTTCTTAACTTAATTACTTATCTTTTGTTAATTTCAATTTGGAGTTACCCTCGATGTGGATTTTATAGAGCCTTTCATTTGAAACTTAGGATTTCACACTGATAATATCTATCAATATATGTTGTTACAGGTGCGTATAATGTGTTATGTTTATGAATATTTTAAAAAGATAATATCAATGCAACCACTACTCTGTCATTTTAGTTACCCTTTAGAGTAAACAACCCTATGAAATGGGTTTGTTAACACTAAAGGGCAACAAAATTTGTAACTACTTTTTTTTACCACCCTAAGTTTGATATGAGTCGATATTGTGAGCTGTCAACTGCACCAAATAGTGCATTAAGGGCTCTATCATTGCATTCAGCCACAAAGGCTTCTTCCTTGGTGTATTTTTCAAAGGTTTTAGTCACCTTTTGTCTTTCGGCACTAGTCTCTGTAGGTTCAGTCCAGCCAGTTTCGATGCTTCCCCATACTCAATTTGCCGCCTTGAAATTTTAGAAAGGCTCTCATGCTCCCTTTCAAGAAATTGTAGTTTGGTCCACGTAACAGTGGCGGTAGTTGGACATTAGCACCTTCCTCCATATCCCCATGAGTGATCAAGCTAATGTCTTAAGCTTAACCGCTCTGAAACCAAATGAAATCGTTGTATATGGATCAACAATGATCACACAACAACAGATAATCTAAACAGTTCAACATGATAATACCACTCTCACAATACTATGAGATAGAATCAGTGCTAAAGCACTTTCTCTGTCACAGGCAAGCACACAAAGAAATAAAAACAGTAAATCAAACACAAGAATTATTTACGCAGTTCGGAGATCTCTCGTACATCTGCGGGGCCCACGTCCGTGTAATAGCCCTTCCACTAAATCATTGTAAAGATTACACCTTCAATCACTAATGGTACCAGCTAGTGGATTGAATCAATCTACTACAGATGACTTAAACATTGAACTCTGGTCGTGTTACACCCAGCGACTTATTACACCAACCTCGATAACTCCTGTTATTGGACGTGCTATCAATCCTTCTTCTAGCCCTTCTAAGTTCAACATCTGGATATGAGTACTGCTCTCTCATCATAGAAGCACAATCAGTACGCAGGGTAGCAACGATCTACTTGTGCATAAAACAGCAACTTATCGCAGTCGATCAGAAGGATCCCAACATGGTCACCTGTGTGATCCGTCTTCATCACCAAGGTTTAGCCTCTCTAAATCCTCACGAAGTTTTTCTCTCTTTTTGATCTCACCTCAATGCCATGGTGTCGAAGAGTATTTATACAGCTGAACTGGCAAGAACCCTAGCATGGTCCTCATAGGACTCATCAACCTTGAACACTTCTATGTCTCATAGAACTCTTCAAACCGCAAGGTGCCACAATCTACTTCAACCAGACCTCTAAGCACACTGGGAGTAGGATTCAGTTATCAACCGTTGCTGTGTGATGACTTGGTATGACACTACAACCTAATAATTATAGTTATCCTACTATTTGTTTTTGTCATAAAGGATAATGCCAACACCCAACATATTAATAGCATACTGGCATAGCAAAATTTACCCAACATTTAGATTAAAGATAAAGATTAAAGACCACATATTTTTTACATTATTATGTAGGGAAGTAGGGAAATTGTTTGGGACATACTAAAAAAGAAAGTAAGACATTAATTTGAGACAAAGGGAGTGTATAAAAAAATTGAAAAAGGTGAGGTGAAAGTTGACATCAAATTAGGGTACCTAAAATTACTCCCTCCGCCCGTTACGAGACTTGACCAACTTTATTTTGAATTCAATTTAGATCATAGGTGTAATATTGAAAAATAAAATTATTATATTTAAAAAGTAGATTAAAAATCTACAAAACAAGAGATGACATATCTATATTATATTATGAAATGAGTGGTAAAAATGATCAAATAAGATGTAGGCTATAAACAATACCTATAAAAAGCCAAGATAACCCTAAAATTTTGACACCACCATTGATCTCATGCTTTGCACAGATGCGTAAACAATAAATTTCAGTATCGTTTCAAAAGTTATTATTTGTGCTTGTTTGTACAAAGAGACCGTCAAAATTTTTCAGTTACTCTACGAGCTCATTCGAGATGAAGGGAGTAATTCATTACGGACATATGTGAGTATGTTATTCTCTAGAGCCATGCTAGGGGAACACCATTTGATGTACTTTATTTGTACACCATCAGTTCTCCGCAAATTATATCCTATAGTCGGATGTAGGGTTTTTCTCATACATCCAACGTAAATTAGGAGCTCTAGCCGATTTGGGATCCGCTGTCGAGAAGAGGTCGCACGATTTTGGAGTCGTTGTCATGCAAACCATCGCTTGCCCTCCCTATGTCAATCCGGTGAGATCGAAAGAAGCGGCTACTATGTTGCTTCAATCGACAATGAAGAAGGCAAATTGATCAGGAAGCTCGACGACGGTGCCCCGGCCAAAGGTGTAAGTTTAGGATGAATTGAATTGTGGTATTACATATTCTGTTATTTCTTGGTACTCATTTATATTGTGTGTAGTATTATATTCATTTTCAGTGATTTATTGGGTGAAATGAACAGTACATTGACTAAGAATAACACTATGTTATTTGAGAAAGAACACTACTTTGCTTCAGAATAAAAACTACGTTATTCATAAATGAATATTAGAATTATATTGATCAAATGTCTGAAAATGAATATTACCTTATTTCAGAATGAGTATTACGTTATTTCAAAATAAGTACTACATTATTTAAGAATGAGTACTATGTATCTCAAAAGGAACACGTATGCTTTGTGCGAGTATCAATACTACTTCTAATTCAAAATTAGTCCTAACCATTTAGAGCCTGTTCTTTAGGGCTTGAACTATTAACTTCTAGTTTCTTCCAAATCCTTCCAATTTTTTCCAGTTCTTTCTAGTTTCTTCCAGTTCTTCTAGTTTCCTCCAGTCCCTTCTAGTTTCTTCCAATTCCTACACATTTCATCCAGTTCCTTCTAGTTTTTTCCAGTTCCTTCCAGCTTCTACCAACTATTCTAATTTTCATCAAACTCTTTCTACTCCCCAACCAATTACTCTAAAAATGATATATTTTTAATGTGATTATTATTATTACAACTGTTATGTTCATAACTATAGTTTATAAATTATTCTTTTCATCTCAGTATTTTTATGATTCGCACTCATTATTTTTTCTTCTTGTAATATATAAAGTATAATTAAAAATATATTATTTATAATAAATACTGCATAAATAAATTGAGGTGCAACGTAACCACAAAAAATTTTTAAAATTTAATTTTTTTATATTTATGTTAACTTTATATTATAATTATTTTTTTCAAAAGTAGTTTTTTGTATTTTAAAAATAACAATACTTTTTTTTTGTATCTTAAAGGAATTCATTAAGATAACGTGATAATGATGATGATGATAATGATAATAATATAATAATAAAAATAATAAAGATAATAATAATAAAAATAATAATAAATACAATAATAACAATAATAATAATAATATTAATATTAATATTAATAATAATAATAATAATAATAATAATTTATAACAACAAGAATTTAAAACAAATTTTTTTTAAAAGTTTTTTTTAGGTTTTTCAATTTTTTGAAGCTTTTCCAGTTTCTTTCGGTTACTTCTAGTTACTTCTAGTTTTTTCCAGTTTCTTCGAGTTTCTTCCAATTTTTCAAGTCCTTCCAGTTTCTTCCAAATTTTTTCAGTTTCTTCCAACATTCCGCTATTTTTTTCCAGTGCTAAATAACATGCTCATCTTTATTCATTTGTCAAATCTTTTCCAATAGGGTACCCCTAGCATTTTTCTATTCTCTACCCAGCTGTCTGTGGATCATTCAGTAACACGTCTTTCTATTAATAATTTCCATTTCTCCTCTATGGAGCAAGCACATCAGGACAGACTACAGAGCATTAACATAGTCTCTATGACACTATGAATCCGTCCATGTGAGCTCGAGCTACCGAGTCATATAGCAAAAACACAATCAATCAATCTCAAATCCAACTCTCTTCGCACTCATATTCAGATCGGTTAGCTCATAGAAATGCTCTTTTTCGCAACAATGGATTTGAGTCGCAATTTCTGGCTTTCCATTTTTATGCTCTTCTCTCTTTCAATTTTTGCTGCCCATTCTGCTTCCAGTTCTATCTCAGGTATGCACTTTTATAATGTTTTACTGTACCATTCCAAAATTTTTTCTATTTATTATAGAAATTGTATTATTGAAATTTTATTTTAAAGTTCCATTATGAGTAATTTTTTTCGGAAATTGTGCGTGGGATTTAGATAAATATAACTTTGATATGCTACAGTATGATTTGTCATCTATTCGCTTTCCTTGATCTGGAACAGTTTTCCTTTTCTTGTGGTTGAAATTGAATACTTACTTTTTCCAAATTTGGATTATTTTCTTGTTAATGAGGACTGAGGAGTAGTTTTTACCCGTGCGCATGGGCTGGTGTATTCTTACCTAAAATTTGACATCTTATATGGAGTAAAAAAAAAAAGTGAAATGAAAGGCGCGTTTGGTTGGGAGAAAATGTTTTCCCAAAAAAAATTCCAGGAGAAAATGATTTTGAAATTTTTTTTATTTTCTCATAACATTTTCTATTCTGTGGCAGGAAGAGATTTTTACATTAGAACCACTTTCATAAATAAAAACTTAGGAAAGAAAGTGGAATGAAATAGTAAGTACAAATATATGTGTATATAAAAAGGAAAAAAATGAAAAAAACTATTTATGAAATTATTCTAATTGTAAATGTTTCTTGTATATTTCTTTAGATTCCGTCAATTTTATTAAATATAAAATCCAATCAATTAAAACAATCACTATTATGTACCCATATGGCTTTTCATTATCTTTACTTTATTAATGCATATAACCTCCATTTCTATAATAAATATATATGCAAAAAAAGGAATATCATGACACATGTACTAATAATAAGATGGTGACACATTAATAGTTACACATGGCATGCCACATATTAGCACCACAAAAAAAACTATACACACACACACGTGCACACGCGCGTGCGCGCACACACACACTCACACACACACACACACACACACACACACATATACATGCATGTGTGTGCGTGTGTGATTTGATGTCATTTATGATGCAGATGGTGTTTATGCATCTCAATCTTCAACAGGGAGGAACCTCCTTCAGAATAAGAAAGGTACTGTGTTCTGCCCCTTTCAATTTATGATCCCCACGCTGCCAAGTTCATTTTCCTTTCTGATTATCTGTTTTTGGAATTAAATGAGAATATGCATTATATGATAGAACAACACGAATATACCCTTCCAACCCAGGAAGTTTACATGTAGATGAATTTGGTTAGGTTATTATTAACTTAGGGTACCTCTCTTTTCATCCTACCGTTAACTTTCCATCCAGTGGTAGGTTTTGATTTTGTGCACCCACTACTGAGAAACCACTCATTGGAAAAAGCGATCTGTTTATGCCATAAAAATATCACACCGGTAATGAATTAGCTTTGATGCCATGTTGAATATTGTGATATTAGAAGGCTAGCGGGTGACATTAGTAGTGAAATAAGATGAACCAATATTAAAAGGTGATAGTAATAAGAATTGTATTACCTATGATTGTAATTAATACTCCGTGCAAGATATGAGATGAGCCTATCACTATATAGGTGTAAAAGATTTTATGAAGGTGCTGGGAAGTGCTCTAAAGTTAGCTACAAAGGCACTAGGAAGGTGTTATGATAGTGGTGTGTGTGTGTGAGACTATATAAGTTGTAAGGTTCGGCTCTGTCTTAAAATTTCAACATGACTATCCAATGCACCCACCACTTCTCAAGCATTGATGAACGAGGTCTTTGATTTTTAGTTTTGTGACTTTGCCCTTGATGTATTAAAGACATATTAGTTTACAACCGGACTAGGGTATATCATCTTCAACACATCTTGATAATGTTTAATACTCCGTCCTTAAACTAAAGTCACAGTTCCCATTTTCGGTGTCCCAACTTTAAAGTCACACTTCTCACATATCTTTTTATGGGAAGGATTACGTGCCTCAGAATATTTCTCTCTTCTAACCCCCCTCTTTTTATTTTTCAACACTTATTAAGCTCCGCAAAGTCAAAGAGTGAATTTAATTTAGGGGTAGAGGGATTATGTGTAGAATGCATAGCCTCATTCGTAAATGAGGCAAGTGTGTGTTTAGGGAAGAACCAAGTTTGCTACTTGGGCCTTGTCATATTGGGTGACGTAGTCGTCGGAGTATTATTAATAGCCCGAAGGTGTAAGCAGTTCATAAAAATATGGGGCCAACTTTTCTCACCTGCAAGCTGGTTTGGCTATGAATGTGTACTCATTTGTACTGAGCATTACAACCTTAAGTGTCTCCTTCAGTAATGTCTATCCACGTGACCACAACATTGATTGGGTAAGCTTTTAGCATTCAACTTCCTGGTTGAATTAAACCCTATGAAGTTGAATGGAGACGCTGATGCCATTTTGCAGAGTGATTTAGGCCCCACTAGTCGCTCATTTCATCCCTACAAAACAGTAAGTGTGGCCCAACTTTTGTTATGAATATTACGAAAATATGTGCATTATATAGCGGTTAGTTCTAGTCTTGTACTTTCTTTAAAGAAAAAAAATATCCAAGACAAAGAATAACATCTACATATGCAATACATATAGCTCAACAATTATCATGAAATTTCATGGCTTGCCAAGGACAAATTTCAATGGAGATTACCTATTTTTAGCAATAACTTTTTGGAAAGCCTTGTCTCACCTATGTTGTACCAGATTGGCTATTTTGTCTGCCTACAACCCCCAAACAAACGGCCACACAGATTTTTCAAATCGAGCTGTGGAAATGTACATATTTGTTTTAGTGGGTGATCAACGTAGCTGTTGGGTACAGTGGTTTCCATGGGCAGAACATTGTTCCAAGTTCCAACATCTACACATCACATAACATTAGCAACCTCACCATTCATAGTGCTGAGTAGACGGGAACCACTAATAGCAACTGATACGAATATCGTATCGGATAGGGAAGAACTTCGAGCGTTCTTCAAGCTCCAAGAATATGAGGTAGAGAAAGATGGAAAACTTCGAGCGTTTCCGGGCTCCGAGAGAATAGAGAAAGAGATTAGGGTTTTGATATTTCTTTATTGATTGATTGAATAAAAGGATTACATCGCTATTTATAGGAGATAGAGAAACCCTAATGCTAACGGTATTTGACCTAATGGGCTCGGGCCCATACTAAAACCTTCAACAACATTAACTATTAAA